GGGCGGAAGGGCAAAAGAAAAATGGGGCCAGAGTTTGTGCTGTTTGAGTCTTGCTCATTTCACTGTTAGGAAAACGATGAAAATGCAGGACGGGAGAGGAGGGCGAGGGTGTGGGGGTGGAAGGCAAAAAAAAAGGAAATGGCATGGACAACTGTGCTGTTTGGGCGTTGGACATGTTCGTGATGGAGAATGGTAAAACTGCAGGATGGAATCATCTCTGTTGCATTGGCCGTCTGCTATGTAGCTCAATGCTTTTCTTTTAAAAGAAAAGAGACAAATTGGGACGTGGCAGTACACCAATCTGCAGGAATGTAGTCCATTTGCTGCCATCCCCAAACAATAGGTGTGGTTGGTCTTGGCAGCATGAACGAAGGGAAGTTTTGTCTCTAAGAGCACGTGAGACCGTGGGTGAACGCTGGAAATCAAAGAAAAACTCTGAAAAATAACCAGTCGAGGCACACCGTGGCCAACGACCGTAGCCGAGCAGACCTGGCGGTGGCCAACGACAGTAGCCGAGTAGACCTGTGGATGAATGCAAATCGGGCCGTTGGAATGGCAAGGGGCTGTGCCTGATGGTGAGGGTTTGTCACTGTCTGGGTAGGGTGCACTTTTATAAAGCTTGGGCGGGTATGTAACAATTTGTGCTTATTACATGTCACTATCTTGCACTGTAGGTACTGTCAGGTACTGTGCAGGTTGGGCGGGTGTGGTTGGGCGTATAGTACTATTAGCATGTGTAACACTATGTGGGTGACACGATGCAGGGCGGCCCGTGCAGTGTGCACTGGATGGTACTATCACGCACAGTCCCCCCTACAAAAGAGAAGAACACAGTGCGACCAAAAAAAAAAAAAAAAAAAAAAAAAATCAGGTGCAATTTGGCGCTTCCCACAGCCAGGTGCTACTGTGCGGGCTGAGCGGTATTCTGTGGTCTGGGGGATACTACGCGGGTTGGGTTGTGTGTGGTGGGTCATATCATCTGGACAGGACAGCACTATGTCGGGTGTAAGTCGGATGGCACTATGTGGGGCAGGTCATACTATGTGGACCAGTTACTAGTATGTGGTCGGGGTGGTGTTATGTGTCCGGGTGACACTAAATGGATTGGGCGGCACTCTGTGGGGCAGGCCATACTCTGTGGAGTCGGTGGTACTACGTGGCCCAGGTGAGATTATGTGGGTTGGGTGGTACCATGTGGCTGGATGGCACTATGGGCTGGCGTAGATGGGCGGTAGGCTGCGTGCTACAAACAAGGAAAACGGGAAAAGAAAAGGGAAAACACAAAAAAAGAATTTTTACAAATGCATGTGGCCGAATGGTACATGACCGTACATCCCACATCTTCCTTGGCCTTTTGGCTACGATGTTCTGATCGGCTTGATATCTGATCTGTAGTTCATTGGGCCACATAAAAAAAGAGAACCAAAAAAAAAAAGGTACATCCACCAATGGGCCTAGCGCAGTTGGTACACCCCATGAACTGTTGAAATGCCGACCCAGCATCACCCATGTTTGAATCCAGAATCTAGATAGTAGAAACCATCAGATGAACAGAATAAAACCGTTGTGAATTACCCGGCGCTGGTCAGTTGAATCGTGATATCTCAGGCCATTGCCTTTGAAAAGGTACATCAATCGATTGCTAATAATGATGGTATCTCAGGCCATCTCCCTCAAAAATAGGAAAAAGAAGGTACCTCAATCAACTGCTAATAGACAGAGCTGTGCTCGAATCGCACTGCGGTCAGATACACCCTGTGCAGTGTGTAATTGCAGCCAGATACGTTCAGAAAAGTGTTCGTGCGACTATGCTCTTCAAGAAGGAAACAACGCCGATATCTTCTTCCTTCTGAGTTTAACTGGAGACAGATTGACGGGCCTGTTATGTACTTGTATTTGAATACCCGCCGTAAGGACAAACCGGCAAAAAGTCCAGCCTGCCGAACTATGCAAACAGTCACTGGGGATTGAAAAACGGAGTTGATGCGATTGCCGTAAGCTACATCAAGCGGAGACTGTAATTGCGGCCAGATACGTCCAGTGTCAGTATCCTTTTGAAGAAGTAAGTAAACAACGCCGTGATCTTTTCCTCTTTTCAGATGAGGTAGAGATGAGCCCGCAATGTTAAAACAAAAAAAAAAAAGACTGAATGCAATTGTGGTCAGATACATCCTGTGCAGGCTGGAATCGAAGCAAGATACGTTCAGGGTCAGTATCCTTCTAAGAATTAAGAAAACAACAATGACGAGATCTTTTCCCTTTTGGGATAAGCTAGAGAAGGGCCCGCTCCGTACTTGTATTCGAAAATCTTCACACCTGCATATGATCCAGCCCGAAGCCTGCACACCTGCACATAATCTAGGCCGCGAAGAGATGCGAATGATTTGAGCCCCTTACCTTTTCATCAATGAATGGCAAAAAACAAAGCACGAGCACAGAGGATATCCTTTCAGCCTCCTCTTTTGCATCATCCCTCCTCCTCGTCCTCTTTGGGCGCCCTTGTGGGCAACGGTAGTGGTGACCTGTCGTTGCGTACATCCTCTACTGCTATCGCCCTCTTCTTCATTTGACCGCAGCTCGTCTAATTCTTATCTGATCGTTTGAGCTGTCATTATATACAACCAAAAGGTGATCCTGTGCCTTCTGGTTGAGCGTGACATTCTTTTTTTCTCCTTTTACCTTTTTTTGTTAACACACAGCCGTTTGAATTCTGGGGGGCGTCACTCTGGGTACTTATCACCTGCAAGCATTAATTACAAAAGCATTTATTATGCCGAAAGACTTATAAGTAGGCCGCCCTCCTTTGCCCCCTTATGGCACTATGACCCAGTAAGTGTGGGACAGCGTTATATTGGCCACGAGACCCCCTTTGGTACACAGTCACCTCACAGTCACCTCTACCTATCATGCCTGCCTTGCCGTGTCATTTTGTCAGCCGCTGCCAGTTTGAGGCCCGCCTTCTAATCCCATTCTTCCCCCCACCCCCCACCCCCCTCTCTTCACCATCCCGTCCCCCCTTTTCCCCCCCTCATCCCCCCTCCTCCCCTTTTCCCCCTCCCATTAGTCACCTCATCATCCCATTTCCCGTCATGTCGTCTAAAATTCTTACCTATCACTATGTCTGTATATGAGAGGAAATTGGTCAACTGACTAGTCAATGTATCGATCTGTAGAGCCCTTTGCGCAAAGTATTTCAAACGTGTGCTCGGGATCTTTCACTGCTCCTGAGTCCTAATAGACCCCGGAGGGCTCTTGCATACTGATACGGGGTGGGTCGCACAGTTGCCTGGGATCGACAGGTATTCCTCCATCTTTCTAGTCAGTGCGTCTACGGACGGCCATCTAAATCTTCGTGAAGGCTTGGCGAGCTGGCCCCTTCGCAAATCCATTGATTGATGATGTGTCTCTCAGCCTTCGACTGATTGCTTGCATCGGGGTTCAGGTTTTCTATTTGACTCCACCCTGGTCTTGTCCAAGAAGCAGTTCTTCCAACTATATCCAGGAAGCACTGTATTTCTACCCCAGCCATCTAACTCGTTATGCGTTTCTCTATGCATTTCATTCGTTACCCTTGAGCTAGCCTCCCCCACCTGAACAGGAAGAAGTAACGAGTACTTGCAAGGATCGGGCACTTTCTGCACGGAGATACACTTCTGATTCTCATCCTTTCCTCCTCCCGTTTTCTTTGGGCCCTCAGACGAAGTGGGTGTCTCCATCACCATGATCATCGCTGTCATCCTCATCCTCCTCCTCATCTCCTCTGCCTCTTCTCCTCCCTCTTGCTATCGAACTTCTTTGGGTTCTACCTTCTCCCCCTGTTATCTGCATCATTATCCTCGTCACCCTCTCGACCTCTTCTCCTCCCTCTCTTGCTATTGAACATTCATGGCGTCTGCCTACTCCTGTTCTTCCTGAATTCTGTTCTTAAGACCGGATTAACTGTCCGTACTATCCGACCGGTTGCGTGGCATGTCCAGCCGGATTAACTGTCCGTGCTATCCGGCCGGAACATCCGGGTGTAAAAAGGTTTATCCGGAATTTCCGGATAAATTCCGGATAATAAAAAAATAGAAAGTAAATTATCTTTTGTTGTTTTTATTTTTTTATCTCCATAGGAATTTTGAAATGACCTCCGGCCAAAAGTTGTTGGTATTGTTATAATCTACAACATAATTTTTTTTTCAGATTTACCCTATTTTTGACCCTCCGGATATACTTGATCCGTTTTCATCCGGGCAGTATTATCCGGCCTGCAAATCCGGATAAATCCAGGCTGCGCGGATATCCGGATTTGCTACTTAGCTTAAGACTCCTTGGAGACCTTTAGTCCCTTCCCCTGCTTCAATTCCTCCATTCCCTCCTGACGTTTCCGCACCACCCTTCCGAAGTTTTGCGATAAATCTAACTGCTGTTTGCATTTGGTCCCTGGTCGTCAACCTACTTCAGCAAGGCCCTTGCTACCAGTTTCTGACTGAAGGCTTTCATTGTGATGGATCTCGTTCTTCTTGTGGCATTACTCCTCCCCCGCAGATTGTCTGATGTGTGGCTGTGCTTCACACTTTGGACCACTTTCTTCCCCCGAAAACAATGTACAGTCATTACAGCTGTATCCGGGGTGTCTTTCAGTCTAAATACAGCAGTAATGACTGTACGCTGTATTTGGGTGAAGAAGGCAGTTGTGACAATAAGCTGTGTATCTGTTTTGAAGGCTGCTCATGAACTGTTGAAATACAGACCTGAGTTGGAATCCAGATGGCGTGACATTTTTTTATTTTTATTTTAATTTTTTTTTTGAACCACAAGTACCTCCGAGCCTGTCTTTGCTGACCCTGAATTACATTGCGGACCGAAAGGTGTCAAGCTCGGGTCCCATTGTGTTTTCTTTTGTGCTTCTCTTCGGAAAGCAAAAAAAAAAAAAAAGGACGAAAAATCGGAAAAAAAAGAAAACATTCAAAACAAGCAACAACGCTAGGGACGTGAAAGCAGCCGGATGCAGAATCTGGGGTACATGTGAGAGTATGCCCTCCCAACGGACATTACAGCCCTGCTAGATACAGAACCTGGAGTGAAAGCAACAACCTTTCGGATGTGAAAGCAGCTAGATACAGAATCTGGAGTACACGTGACAGTATGCCCTCCCAACGGCAATTGCAGCCCTGCTGTAATCACGGCAGCAGAAATAAAGATAATGGAAAGGAAAAAAAAAAAAAAGCAACAACTCTTTGGACGTGAAAGAAGCTGGATACAGAATCTGGAGTACATATGAGCATGCGCCCTCCATTGCGAAGTGTCAGCAAAGTGTCAGCCGTCTGTGGAATGCGCCCTGCCTCGTTCGCAGGGCACTAAAAGCAGATCACACAAAAAGAAAAGAAAACAGATTAAAAAAAAAACGAAACTGGCTATGTTTCTGGGTAGATACATTCCTTTGAGTACTGATGTGAGCACATCTCCTTCACGGCCTTCCCCGGCGTCCTTCCTTTCTTTCTTTTCTTTTCTTTTTGTTTTTTGGGTTATTCGGAAATAAATCGGATGCCGAAGTCTTCGGGGAATTTGGGAAAACTGCCAGTTTCCCTAATTTCCCAACACTGGTGGAGGTACTGGTGGTTTTTGGCTGCTCATGTGCCCTGGCTCTCTCTCTCTGTCACTGTTGTTGGACTCCATTTGGGTGTCGTTGTCTTGAAAACTCAGGGGCAAGATGAGTTTCTCAATATGATTCTTCATGTGCTTGAAGCTTTGTCGCAGCATACCGGGATATTGCTAGAGCACCGGGACACGTTTGTTGCTTATGTTCTGCCAAGGCTTGCATCTATGTATAGCAAGAGCGGAAACGGCGACACGCGTTGCCTTTGCCTGAAAATATTTGCAGACATTCTAGGCTTGTATATCGAGGATTTGGCTGCTAAGGCCAGCGGAGCAGGAAACGGGCATCCCACAGCAGCAAGGGCGTTGTCAGCGGTGGCTGCAAGTGGGAGTGTCTCAGGCTCGAGTGTAGAGAAGGCAAGAATTGACTCGATGGTCACGCAACACTTTTTGCCGCTCTACCCGTCCTTGCTGCAAGATGAGGATCCTATGCCTTTGTACGCTCAGAAGCTTCTGATCACGCTCCTTGAACATTCCTGCGTGTCCATTGGAGACGTTCTCCGTTTGCGTATTGTTCCTCGCCTGTTTGATTTCATCCTTGCGGATCTCAACAACGTAAACAAGCATGCAATGAAGTTGTGCGTCCTGTTGGCAGCGTCGATGGAGATTGAGACAAGACTGCTGTCAGAGATGCGCATTGTTCGGAAGCTTGGCGGCCTGCTCGAGGACGTTGTGGAGAAAGGCCACGACGAGCACGTCGCCCCCATTCTGTCTATTTGCAGGAGTTTGATGGAGCGGCATCTCCAGGCCGTTCAGAGCAGCCGTGGAGCGGGATCTGGAACCGGCGTTGGAGTCGTCGGCGTCGCTGATATCACGGAATTCGGGCGTTCCGCAGAGGTGTTTCTTGAGCTCACAGGGAGCTACGAAGCCTCCGTGGCGGACCCAGCAGGGGAATGTGTTTTGTGGTTCGCAAGGGCGGTGCCAAGGGTTGCCACAGCAGCCTTACTTGTGAATGTCGGTAAGCTATCGAAAGTTCTGGAGACGGTGAGCACTGCTCATGTGCAGCCTCTCCTTTCGAAGCTGCAGCGGTGCCTCCTGCTCGCGCTTGCTGTCTGCTGTAGAGAGCACCGTGCGGTTCTGGCGAACGCAAGAGAGTTTGGTTCTTCAGTTCCTTCAATAACTATTGCACCACAAACAGAGTTTGCATTGCTTGAGGGCATTCTTTTAAGGCTAAGAAAGTGCAGTAATGTTGGGGTCATGGAGGCAGCAACAGAAGCCGTTGCTGAGCTTCAGCTAATGTTAAGGCGAGCATAGACTTTACTTGCGGCTCGTCATTGAGAAATAGCGGGTTGAGATGCATGCCGAAGAAGATGCTGCGCCATTCATGGTTAATGTTCAAGCTTGTAACCTGTGAGAAAGGGCTCTTCGAGTACCCCCAAAACGTCCACCAGCTTTTTAGGGCCACCGGGCGAAGTGGTCAGAGGGGGTGCCAAGGTCTCTGTTTGATTGGCCTTGATGCTAATTGCTGGTAGTGCTTAGCATGTGTTGGATTGTTTTTCAAGTGCAGAGCTGCAGGTGTGCAGAGTGATGGACCTGCAGGTGTTCGTGTGGGCGATGATCAGACACATCCTCAGTATGCAGAGGACATCAAGACCGCTCAGACAAAGGTTTCGATGCTGGAATTCGCACAATTTACGGGCAGGGCAGGGCATCCTGCACTCCCAAAATCCCCTCCGCAGCAGACCACTGGCACTGCTGATGTTGTGATCCTTGCTTGGCGTGATAGGAGGCGGCGATTGGCAACTGACTGGCATGCATGCTTAATCAGCCAATCAAGCGTGGTGGGTACCCACCTCAGTGTCATGACATATATGCACGTGCAGCAGAGTTGCAAGGAGAAATGTTGGGAGGCGGGCCTCAGGCGGGAGCCAAACGTCTAACAATGTCGACAGCAGTGCAAAGCAAGGTTCGTCCAAAGCGTTTCATTCGGTGAGTGCCATCGTATGTTTGGCCCAAAGTATGGTCGCTCGGCATGCATTGATCCAAGCTTACGCAGCTGCATGGAAAGCAGCCTGAGCCCCATGGATAGTCGTAGAGGACATCCTTAAATTGTGGAGTACTCTTGAAATCCTTTGCTATGAGATGTTTGCAGTTTGTGGACCACACAGAGTGTGGCTAGAGATTTGTCTCTCGGAAGGGAAGGGGGGGAACAATTGTTTTTTACTTGGAGGGTGTGTTAATTCTTACTCGCATGTCTCTCTCGGGGAAGGGAGAGGAAGAGAATTTGGAGCAGGAAATTTATCAAGTTAGAAAGCTGGTTTCTTGGGAATGTGCTGGGAGGTTATTACCATCGTGGCATAAGGGAATAGGAGGTGGATGATGGGCACTGGGGAACCAGACGTCTGTGCTCCGAGCATCGTTTCCATTGTGCACACAGGGCTGTTTGCAGGTCACCATATCCAATGTCGCTTCCCGCTGATGACCGCTTGCTGCAATGCAGAAGCACCGAGTCTCTACACAAGGAGAGGGCTGGCCGGGAGGGAGGCAGCTCAACTTAGAATTGAGCGTCCTGAGAGATAACTTATCATTGGATGAGCAAGGAAGATCAGCCCATGCAAAGATCTTGTGAGTGGACTAATTCTCCACTCTTTGTCAGCAATTGCTGGAAGGGAACACTCTCTCGCTTGTTCAACATCTGTAATGGTGCTTTCAGTGTCTCTCTACTTTTGCTGGACATCATCGTGGATTGTTTTTTTGCCTGTGTTCCGTCTGTATGCTCCTGGTGGCTTGGTCTTTATCGCGTACTGCTGTGGTAACAGTGTGGCTCCCTCACGCCAAAAGTCTCTCTCTCTCTCTAACATCGAGATATAGTATATACACTACTTCGATTTGCTCATCCTGTCAATGGAAGTACCCTCAGAGAGACTACCAGTTGATTCGTTCGATTTTGCGTCGATGGACCCTCTCTCTCTCTCTCTCTCTCTCTCTCTCTCTCTCTCTCTCTCTCTCTCTCTCTCTCTCTCTCTCTCTC